GAGTATAACCCACATTAAGTTTCCTCTCCATTGGCTTACCAATTGACTAAGTGCCGGAAAGCAGGCCACGTAACTATTATGTTCCCCCAAAATAAATGGAGTTAATGAGTGGGGGAGCAAGAAGAGGGAGAGGGAGCGTCTCTCCCTCTCTAACTCTCTCCCTCCAGACACTTAACACCACTCGCCAAGTTAGTGGAGAGTCTCAACATCTTAGTGCACTTGTTATCAAAGTCACAATAGTCTGAAGTCGTACTTAACACCTAAGTCATACTTCACGTCACAAGATGACGACCTTTTCTTACGACGGACAACCCCGAGATAAAGTGTTGCTGGTATAGTGAGGTGGGTATAGTGCCGTTATGTGGGTATTATGGTTTGGTATAGGGATGCAACCCGTTCTCAGCGTATTTATATAATCATATTGACTTATTAAATATGTGCATAGGTGACATACTTAACATAATAGTTTCCCTTGAAAGCTCATAGAAAACACCGACCTTACCTAACTACTTAGTATGTTAAGATAAGCATCTTATTGCTTCGTAATTACAATTATTACCTAACCTATACCAATAATAGGTTAAGTAACAATTGTAATTACGAAGCTATAAGATGCTTATTTTAACATACTAAGTAGGTTAGGTAAGGTCGGTGTTTTCTATGAAGCTTTTCAAGGGAAACTATTATGTTTAGTATGTCACCTATGCTCGCAACTAATAAGTCAATATTGACTTATTAAATTTTGCGAGAACGGGTTGAGTGATGTGTATACTGATCTGATGTGTGGTATAGTGATATAACTTAGGTATAGTGTTTTATATAGGAATGTGATATGAGTATAGTGATGTGATGCGGCTATAGTGTTGTAGGTATAGTGATATGATGGAGATATGGTGTCTTACTGATCGCAAGCTCTTAACGATCTAACATATATAGAGATAGCAACAGCATTAGTCGATTCAAGTCAAAACCATTATATGTAAATCAATGTTTGAAAGTTTATTTAGAATTTAGATTTAGAAGGAAGTTTAGATTAAACCCCTTCTAAATTTAGATTTAGAAGGGTTTCTAAACTGTGGTTTTCCCGACTTCCAAGATAAAAAGCATGTAAGTGAGGCTTCCACCACCACAGTACTCCCCCCCCAGCCAGGCTTCCACCACCACAGTACTCACCCCCCCCCAGCCAGGCTTCCACCACCACCACTACTCCCCCCCAGCGGGCTTCCACCACACAGTACTCACACCCCCAGCCAGGCTTCCACCACCACAGTACTCCCCCCCAGCGGGGCTTCCACCACCACAGTACACACACCCCAGCCAGGCTTCCACCACCACAGTACTCCCCCCCAGCGGGGCTTCCACACCCACAGTACTCACACCCCCCAGCCAGGCTTCCACCACCACAGCACACACCCCCCCAGCGGGGCTTCCACCACCACAGTACTCACACCCCACCAGGCTTCCACCACCACAGTACTCCCCCCCAGCCAGGCTTCCACCACCACAGTACTCACCACCCCAGTCAGGCTTCCACCACCACAGTACTCCCCCCCCCCAGCCAGGCTTTCCACCACCACAGTACTCACCACCCCAGCCAGGCTTCCACCACCACAGTACTTCCCCCCCCCAGCCAGGCTTCCACCACCACAGTACTACTCACCCCCAGCCAGGCTTCCACCACCACAGCACACCCCCCCCCCAGCGGGGCTTCCACCACCACAGTACTCACACCCCCAGCCAGGCTTCCACCACCACAGTACTCCCCCCCAGCCAGGCTTCCACCACCACAGTACTCACCACCCCCAGCCAGGCTTCCACCCACCACAGTACTCCCCCCCCAGCCAGGCTTCCACCACCACAGTACTCACCCCCCCAGCCAGGCTTCCACCACCACAGTACTCCCCCCCCAGCCAGGCTTCCACCACCACAGTACTCACCCCCAGACAGGCTTCCACCACCACAGTACTCCCCCCCAGACAGGCTTCCACCACCACAGTACTCACCCCCAGAAAGGCTTCCACCACCACAGTACTCCCCCCCAGCGGGGCTTCCACCACCACAGTACTCACCCCCAGCCAGGCTTCCACCACCACACTACTCACCACCCCAGCCAGGCTTCCACCACCACACTACTCACCACCCCAGCCAGGCTTCCACCACTACAGCACCCCCCCCCCAGCGGGGCTTCCACCACCACAGTACTCACCACCCCAGCCAGGCTTCCCACCACCCCAGTACTCACCACCCCAGCCAGGCTTCCACCACCACACACAGCACCCCCCCCCAGCGGGGCTTCCACACTACAGCACCCCCCCCCCCCAGCGGGGCTTCCACCACCACAGTACTCACCACCCCAGCCAGGCTTCCACCACCCCAGTACTCACCACCCCAGCCAGGCTTCCACCACCACAGCACCCCCCCCAGCGGGGCTTCCACCACCACAGTACTCACCCCCAGCCAGGCTTCCACCACCACAGTACTCCCCCCCAGCGGGGCTTCCACCACCACAGTACTCACCCCCAGCCAGGCTTCCACCACCACAGTACTCACACCCCCAGCCAGGCTTCCACCACCACAGTACTCCCCCCCCAGCGGGGCTTCCACCACCACAGCACCCCCCCCCCAGCCGGGCTTCCACCACCCGGGAAAATCCAGATGCCAAAGTTTTATTTCAACATAATTTTTCCTCCATCAGTTCACACTTCACAAGTGCCACAGACGATACACTGATCCGATGAAAACAGCCTCTAATGCCTCGTGTGATAAAGGTGGTATTTCCAATGTCTCACTTAACCGTATACGTTTGTTAGGCTTATTTGGGTCACCCGTTAACGGCTGATGTTTAAAATTTAAATATTAATCCAAACTCTTAGGAAATATATCTTCCAGTTCAACCGTCAACTGTCACCGATCTTTACGCGACTGGTACATTTGCGTACAGTAAACTCGTATATGTTATATTGAGTAAACTGTAAAACACAATATGGTTATTGTTATTAAGAGTGTTGTTATTTGTGTTATAGGTATAAGAAGGTTGGAAGGCGGGGCATTGGGAGCTCTGGATGTCACGTCCTCGTCGTCACTGATAGGTAAGCACTATAACCTCGACACTATCATCACAGCACTATACCCTCGACACTATACCCCACATCATTATACCCTCGTCGTTATACGCACATTACTATGCCTAATATAAGCCACATCACTACACTATGCCAACAGCAACAGGAGGCCAGACACAGGATACAGAATGGGAGATGAAATACTTCATGAAACGGACAGAGAGAAAGATCTAGGAGTTGATATCACACCAAACCTTTCTCCTGAAGCCCACATCAAGATAATAACATCAGCGGCGTATGCGAGGCTGGCTAACATCAGAACTGCCCTCAGGAACCTGTGTAAGGAATCATTCAGAACCTTGTATACCACATATGTAAGACCAATCCTGGAGTATGCGGCCCCAGCATGGAGCCCGTACCTTGTCAAACACAAGACGAAGCTGGAAAAAGTTCAGAGGTATGCCACTAGACTAGTCTCAGAAACTAAGAGGCATGAGTTATGAGGAAAGGCTGCGGGAAATGCACCTTACGACACTGGAAGACAGAAGAGTAAGGGGAGACATGATCACAACCTACAAAATTCTCAGAGGAATTGACAGGGTAGATAAAGATAAACTATTCAACACTGGTGGTACGCGAACAAGGGGACACAGGTGGAAACCGAGTACCCACATGAGCTACAGAGACGTTAGAAGGAACTTTTTCAGTGTCAGAGTAGTTAACAGATGGAATGCATTAGGAAGTGATGTGGTGGAGGCTGACTCCATACACAGTTTCAAGTGTAGATATGATAGAGCCCAATAGGCTCAGGAACCTGTACACCAGTTGATTGACGGTTGAGAGGCGGGACCAAAGAGCCAGAGCTCAACCCCCGCAAGCACAACTAAGTGAGTACAACTAGGTGAGTACAGCACTATGCCCACATGCCCACATCACTATGCCCACAGCACTATGCCCACATGCCCACAGCACTATGCCCACATGCCCACAGCACTATGCCCACATGCCCACAGCACTATGCCCACAGCACTATGCCCACATGCCCACAGCACTATGCCCACATGCCCACAGCACTATGCCCACAGCACTATGCCCACATGCCCACAGCACTATGCCCACATGCCCACAGCACTATGCCCACATGCCCACAGCACTATGCCCACAGCACTATGCCCACATGCCCACAGCACTATGCCCACAGCACTATGCCCACATGCCCACAGCACTATGCCCACATGCCCACAGCACTATGCCCACATGCCCACAGCACTAAGCCCACATGCCCACAGCACTATGCCCACATGCCCACAGCACTATGCCCACATGCCCACAGCACTATGCCCACATGCCCACAGCACTATGCCCACATGCCCAAGGTGCCGGCAGGAGCCCAGCACATCCTCCGTCAAGGACCGTCAAGGTGCGGGCAACATAAAGATACAGTTATTAATGTTAATGTTCAATATTGTGTAATCAAACACCATGTTTCCTCACACACAAATTTTTACTCTTTTCAAAAACTATTCAAAAAATTAGTTTTTGTGTATTTAATCTTGTGTTACGTAAGTAGCGCAAGATTAACACGTGAACTTAAAAACTTACGATTACTTTTAAGCTTAAATAACGTAAGCTTAAAAGTGAGGTACGTTACGTTAGGTGATTTGATTTTAGTGGTAATCATTTGTAGTAAATGTTTTAAGTCAAAATCAAATTCAAAATTATTTTCGAAGTAACCAGTTTGTGTAAATTGTTGTTAATTAACCTCATAAGAGAGGATGTGGGGAGGGGCGTAAATTAACGAGCATTTGCCTAGTGATGATGAAATTGGTATGTTTTTTTCGAACAATTTCAACTGAGGCAGCCTATTGGCTGGCATGTAGACACGCGCGGCTGAGGCTTCGACCCCCGCAGGAATGAGACGGGTCGAAGCAGCATCGAGCTGGCTTGTTCAAGGTCCGCTCGAGTTGCCGCAACACATATATATACACCTGTTCACCAGGTGTATACGACAGTGTTGTCTGGAGACTTGTACTAGTCGCACTTCAGATATAAACTATGGCGCTTTTGCGTTGTGTAGTAAGTGTTCGGTGTTGTGGTAGGTTGTTAAGTGTGTTTTGTGTTGAGAATTGTTATTTATTTGGTTTGTTCTCTTCGTAGGCTGTGTCGCTGGTGTTGCTGGTTGTGTTGCAGTTGGTCGTGGCTCAGTATGCCTACGACCGCCGGTACGGGCACGTCTACGGTTATGGCAACGACTATGATGGCTACCGCGTGCCCTATGGTTATGGCTACCAACGCATCTACGAATACAGGCCTCATGATCGACACGGGTATGTTCGGGAATATTTATGACGTATACTACACATTTCAACTTTTTTTTTTTTTTTCTCCTCGGTTTTCCCTTTTCTGTAGCTTATACTATTTATATATTTCCAGGTTCTACCGCTACTGAAACCTACCGGTGATCATGTTTACAGTAAATTATGTAAAGTGATATATGAAAGAAAAGTGAATAAAAGTGACCCTAGTACATTTATTTTTTCCTACCCTATAAAACTTGAAATGCTTTGGTGTAAATTTGTCACACTAAAGAGATGCCCAACCTTACTCCCTCGCTACCGAAGACTTTAACCTATAAAGTTTATTTCTGTGTAAATTGCCTTAATTGTGGAACTTCTCTGAATCAATAATTGTAATCAATTTGGTTCTACTTCGTAATAATCTTGCCACTGATGCTTGGTATTGAACTCTCCTGGAATATTATGGTGGAAAAATGGTTTATTACTATTAACGGCAAAATTTGAGTCTTCAGTGTACTAGAGTGCAGTTGTCGGGGGGGGGGGGGGGGGGGGGGGGGGGGAGAAATTGACTGCACAACTTGACTGCACATGACTCTGCCTGAGTTCAGTACAGGCAAACGGCCCGTCCTCGTAAAGCCTCGCAACGTGAAGGAACTGTCTTAAGTTCCAGCAGACCTGAAAACGGAGCACGCATTATGTAAAACTTATGGGTTTGATCCCTACTTAAAATAGGGGAAGAGGAAGGGTTATTAATTACCTTTTCGACAAGTATCTTCACAAAGACTTCCCCCCCCCCACCCCCAACGCCCCATGACTTTTAGTATAGCAAAAAATATAACTACTCTCTTTAGGTGACCTTTCAAAAGCTTGGAAAGGGAAGTCCTTCTGAAGTTGGTGGCCAAAGTAAATAAAGGTAATATTCTCGGACGGAACTATGCCAGTCTCCATGGCACATATACGTAGTCAGGAAGGTCCTTGGTAACACGCCTGTTAAAGCCCTGCGCTCAATACTCTCGGAACTTAAACATTGCGGTGCTTGCTCACTAAAGCACTACTGCAGTGAGCACCCGCTCATGTTGGTGCGACTTCGAATAAACTCTGATCCGACTTTGCCCTTAGTTACTGTGCACTCAGGGATACTCTTCGTTAAATAATTTTCTATTAATATAGTTAAGAAAACGGTTAAATTTGCCTCTTAACACTTTGACCCACATTGCATTTGTCGGGAAAGCTGCATGAAATAAATGGACCACTACGAATAGACTAGTGCTCAATAGTGTCGAAATAACATTGTGAGACGGCATCCGACCTTTTACTTGGTACATGAAATTCTTTCGGTTCGTATTTCTAATATTTCATCTTGTTCCCTTTTTTTTTTGCCCGGAACGGGAGCCGGTCGGCCGAGCGGACAGCACGCTGGACTTGTGATCCTGTGGTTATGGGTTCGATCCCAGGCGCCGGCGAGAAACAATGGGCAGAGTTTTTCACCCTATGCCCCTGTTGCTTAGCGGTAAAATAGGTACCTGGGAATTGGTCAGCTGTCACGGGCTGCTTCCTGGGGGTGGAGGCCTGGTCGAGGACCGGGCCGCGGGGACACTAAAGCCCCGAAATCGTCTAAATATAGCCCCCATGGAAAGTCCCCCTTCCGCAGTTTTGTACATGCTTACCCCACATCACTAAAGCTTTTTACTCCTCCTACGGTTCTGAAACGGCTTTTCCTTGCACTTTTCTTCACACTCCCGCTCCGTTTCCATCTTCACCGATGGGTCCAAGTCTGTCGACGGTGTTGGCTACGCGGTTTTTCCTGACGGCACTTGTCGCTTACCTCCGGAGACGTGCATCTTCACAGCGGAATACTCTATGCTCTTCGTCTCTTGTTTTCTCTTTTCAGTTGACTCTTAGTTCCCTCATGGCTCTCGGGTCCTTTGATCGGGTTCATCCAGTGGTTGTAGAGATGCAGCATTGGCAGTTTCTTCTTACAGTAAATTTAAGTCAGTTTTGCTGGGTTCCCAGCCATATTGGGTGTCTTTAAATGAGTGCGGCTGCTGCAGCTAGGGAAGCTGTGCGCTCTTGTCCCATCACTTGTAAAAGTATTCCTTATTCAGACTTTTACTCGGTTATTCATTCTTCCATCCTTGCCTGTTGGCAGGCTTCTTGGCCTTGTTACTTGTAAGTGTACTCTTAAGGGTTGTCCTCATGGCCGTCCTGCCACCGTAACCGGCGGTGGGAAACGGCTCTGGCGAGGTTGCGTCTTGGCCATACTCGCTTAACTCATGGTCACTTAATGGAGCGCCGCCCTGCTGCTTATTGTCCAAATAGCATTGTCCCTCTTACGGTCGTGCATATCCTTGTTGAATGTCCTGACTTCCAGGACGAGCGTGTCTTGCTTTCCGACCGTCCCTCGCGGTCACTTGTTCCTCGATAGAATTCTTGGTGAATCGGATACTTTAGATATCGTTCGCCTTATGCATTTCTGTTCTCGTATTGGCATCCTCGGTGATATTTAGCGCCCTCTGATTATTCTGCACATTTGATGGTGCTACATAGCCTTCCCGGTTTGGTGTCTTTTGATAATTACTTGGTATATAAAATATGCCAGGCATACAGATGTATGTACTTAGGGGTGTAGATAGTGTATTAAAGTCCTGGGCAGTGTTCAGAAATAGTTTAATACTGACCCTCCCGCAATTGTCGGCCCATAATCAAAATAAAACCTTGGTAGCAATTTTCTAATTAATGTAATGAATGATTAGTTTTAATTTTGAAGTAGGAAAGGAAATTACTTGATTTGGAAATAGTTATAATCGGATACAGAAGATCGTAGCTCCAAAATAGTCTCAGACCCAGAGATAAAGAAGCACAGAAAACGGGTCCGCCGCTGACACAAATCTTCAATTGGTTTGGATGATACTTAACGGCACTGAGCTCCTTAAAGAAGAGCGGAACAGAGCGATAAACAATGGGGGGGGGAAGGTTGCCAGCGTGTTTTAAGCTGCCTTGCGCAGTTTTACAGTTATGACTGAAAAGAACCATACTTAATAAAATATCTTAACATTTCTACTTTGGTTTTAGATAGTCTAAATATTATTGACATTTTTCAGATGCTTAAAACCAAAAGCTGTAATACGACTAATCTCATTCGGACGTAGTTTAAAAAGATACTTTGTGTATATAAGTTGGGTCCTTCCAGCCAATCGTAAGTGAACATTACTAACGGTAAATATCTCCTCAACCACCAGTCAGTTGACACGGCAGCTTTAAGAAGTTGACTAGGGTCACCAGCGAGGGCAAGTGTACCCACGCCCGCCCCAGTGGCCCGGAGGTTTGTATCGGACTACCCATATTAAGAGTGGCTTTAGGGTACTTTTCCTACATGGGCATGAAGGCCACCCGTCCTCGACTTAGAGACAGCCAGTGGTCAACCCCACAGACGCATTCATAGATTTTAACATGCTGTTCATTCAAAACTGGAATTTTCTCTAATATAAATTAATATTATAATAATATTGTGCATATATAGGTTAGGTGTTTAGGTTCTGTTGGGGATTATTTGTATTTGTAGCCCCCTCCCCGCTCAGCTCGTTGTCGCCGTGTGGGGGCTTCGTGGGCGGCTGCTGGAGTGTGATGCTCCTTCGGACAGTCCTCTGTCCTTTTCTAGCCTTGTGCTCCTGCTGCCGTCCTCTCCAATTCTGCTGGGCACCTTTTCCTTTTCCTTCTGTTTCGTTTTTCTCCCCCCTCTTCTCCTATCTGCTGGCTGTTTCCTGCCGACCTTTTGCTCGTTCTGGTTCTTCCATGGACTTCTTCTATTTTGACGCCCGGGTGCTTGAGGAGGCATACTCATGCACCCGTAGAACTGCAGTACCCGACGTCGAGAGCGAGGGGAACCATTTATTGTCAATCCCCACTTCGTCACTGAACCCGATCTCGACGGACTGTCGGTTTCTTAAGGTGGCGTTTGTGGGGCGTATACTCACGACGCACCCCTAGGAGGCCCCGACAAGATCGGCGATAGCTTCTTGTTGGGTGTCCTGCCTCTAATTGTGGCTCCATGGTGGGTGTGGGGGCACATTCGTGAGTGAATTCGTAATTTCGTCCAGATGATAACCCCTGTTTCGGCTGCTTCTGGCTTACCTTTTCAGGCTCGTGGGGTGGGCGACCAAGCCCCCGAGTCGGTCCGTATTGGAAGACCGGGCTCTGTAGCCTCCGCTGCATTGGGCCCCGACCTTGCTCCTCCTTTGGCCTCTCTGACTCCTTCCCCTGGCTCCCCTCCCTCCTCTGTGGTTGGGTCGAGCCCCAAGCCCCCAGTGGTGACTACCTCGTCCCCTGGCGCGGCTCCTTCTCTAGTTGTAACTACTGCGCCTTTTAACCCCTCTCTCTCTGGGGTTCTCACCGCTGTTCTCGTCACGGCCGCCCTCGCTCGATTCCTTCCTGTTCTGCTACCTATCAAGCCTTGTTTGGTCCCGCTTCGTGGGCCAAATATTTTGATCTCCTCCCTCTTGATTCTGCGCCTCCTGACGATTTCTCCCTTCATCGACATCTCATTGATTCCGTGGATGCCTCCATTACTTTTAACCCCACTCGTCTCGGTACGCGTGTCGTTGCTGCTCCTTCTCAGGATGCTGCTCCTTCTCAGGATGCTGCTTCCCGCTTGGCTGTCTTATCCTGCCTTGGCGAGACCCCCGTTCGGGTCTCGAAGAACGCTCAATTGAATGCCAGTGTTGGCACTATTTTGCTCCCGCCCCATGTTGCAACCGGTGTTCAGGACCTGCGCGACTGCCACGACGATATTCGCCATATCCTCGCTGCCCAGGGCCATTCTATTCTCCAGGTGGACACGTTTACTCGTCCCCCTCGTGGTAGTCGCCGTCAACCCCTCCGGGTTGTGAAGATTACCTTTGATGGTAGGACCCTTCCACCCTCTGTCATTCTTGCTGGTGCCAGGTGCTCTGTCCAGGAGTACATTCCTTCTCCTCGGCTCTGCAACAAGTGCTGGAGGTTTGGGCATGGTGCCCTCCGCTGCTCCGGACTGTCTCTCTGTCCTTTGTGTGGTGGCGAAGGTCACTCTAAGTCGGAGTGCACTTCTCCCCAGGCTCGTTGCCTCAACTGCGGTGAGGCCCATCCTACCTTCTCCCGTGCGTGTGTCCATTACAAGCTTGAGGCAGCCGTCCTCAACCTGAAGCACCGGGAGCGTTTATCTTTTCCTGAGGCGAGGCGCCAGGTTCGCCGGCTC